CATTCCTCCCGAGGATTGATGGACCTAATATAACACCACCCTGGGTCAACACAAATGATAAATCCTCAACACATACAAAAACAAAGATCATGTCGAATTCAGCTAGGGTTAGGGATTGAAATCATAGCAAATTGAGGGTCTAAACTAGGAGAAAGTGAGGAATTGGTCGAATTGAAACACACTAGGGCAAGAGGAAATTGAAATTGCAACTCACGAGAATCTGAGAAACGATGAGGGGTTGGCCGAAGGGCTTGAGGAGGATCTGCATGACGCGGGTGATGACGGAGATGAGGGAGAGCTGCAACAGGAGAGAAGGAAGGGGGTGAGAGAGAATATTGTCCTCGAAGAACAAACCCCTGGAGCTGATATCATCCAGGGCGTTGCATTGGGCGGGGACATGAGGCACCGCCGCCGCGTCGATCTTCATCGCTGCTGATCCTCAGCCGCGCCGGTCCGCCGTATGGGTTGGAACTTGGATCCACGCTGGCCGATCGGAGCATAACATCACGGAATCATCGCCATTGCCGTCGCTGGATTTGAGATGCAAATCCAATCGGATGAGGAATTTGAAGATTTGAAATCTGGAGAGGGCCAGCAAAATTTCACATTTTCCAAATTCAAATGCAATTTTGCCATGCAGATCAGCTTAGCGAAAGATCCAGCATCGTCATTCCATGTATTATCCCCCTCGCAAATTCGAAAATACTTTTTGGACCCACCCAGACAGGAAGGTCAACCCGGCGGGAGACGGGTCCCGAGAGCGGCAAATACATATCCCTCCAAATTTTATTTATTTTGTTTACCTAATTTTGTTATCTATTTGATAAAATAGTATAATCATGTTACTATTAATTTTGTAGATCTTTTGATGTAACTTTGAAACACGTAATTTTTATTTTTTTAATTTCGCACCATTTTTTCATATAAATTTTTTTTGAATATAATTTTAATCAAACATTGTAATGCGAGAAGATGATTTTTTGGCGGGGGGAGTATATCTGAGAAACTTGAAAATGTTGACCCCGAAAAAATGGTGTGTGGGCCAGTAGGGCCCTTTGGACCGACCCTGATGAAATTGCACCATTAAACAAAGGCTCTCACGATTTTTGAGTAATGAACAATGGCATTTCTTAACACGGAAGGAGCATGTACTAGACTCGCACCAACTTGATTTGTTCCTCTTCAGCTCGCAAATTCTACCTTTCAAAGCGGACAGATATGAACAATTTTATGAGCTCATACATAAGGCCATCAGGGGCGCCCTTCCCTTTTCGCCCATTGCCAACTCAGCACCACGTTAGTTTCAACTTTCGCTTCCCCTTGCATTCTCTTTCCAGGGAAATGTCTTCCTTCCTTTCTCGTTCCTGCATAGGGGCGGTATTCCCCTTCCTTTTTCTGCTGTCAACTGGACTTCCGGCTGGTCCTTCCCGCAGGCGCACCACACGACATAATATGGATGAGTTGTATATGAAGAGGTTTGGATTTTATATTTGGTCTGCATGGGCCAAGAGCCCATACCCTACACATATAAACATATAAATACACAAAATATATTATAGAAAAACACTTTGTATGTCTTGTTGGTATGTTGATTGAAGCAACTATAAATTTATATGATATATTGTGTGAATCATATTATTTTCATTTTAATATAAACAGAAATATTTGTATATATTTAATTAATTTTTTTTATGAAATATACAAAAAGTTTCGGGCTAGGCCGGGCCGCCTTAGGCCTGTTTGGATCTTCTTTATGGGCTCGATTTTAGTTCAAATTTTGCGGTCGGCTTTGCCCACTCAGTCATCTAGACAAATGATTAACTTTAGACTTGATCGAGATTCAATTTTGTGCAAGTCTAATATGTAGGTGTGTCTTTCTAAGAAAGCAAGAAAATGTTTTGAAAAATGGCAAAAAATAATAATAAATGTGGGTATATTTAATTAGGACTAAATTATAAGCTATGTAATAAAATAGAATATTCAATGTTTCTATATATTCAACATTAATACTTATACTTAATGCCAAAACATAGCACAAAAATACTAATATACTCTTATGTCTATACTTTTTCGTCTAATGGCATATAGTGAGTGTGCTTTTGCTGAAAATCAAACTTCGATAATCACGTTACTTATGATATAAAAGCGTAGAAGGTCATATTCCAAAAAAATCATTACTTTAATCTTACGCAATATATAGGTAAAAATTTTTATAATCAAAACTATAACGGAGTATGAGTCACACATTTCTTTCTAAAAAAATGTAATGGTATTTTTTAGTCATACTATGTGTAAACACACATGTATATACCATTTGTACACCCACAAGTATGCAACAACTTTGTATCCAAGAAAAACCCTCTGGTTTAAAAAATACAATGAAAATAAAAAGAAAATATTTTCTATCTATATACAGAGAAGAAAGCCTTACTCTTTGCATCTTTGGAAAAGAGTGAGGACTGAGTAGTTAGTAGTCACCAGTCACCACCATTGATGCACAAGAACACCACTCTGCCTGAGAGAAGAAAACAGCTCAAGGCATTGATCATAGCTCTTCTCATACTTGGAAGTTCTTCTTCTTCTTCTTCTTCCTCTTCTTCTGTAATGGCATTCCAGAAACAGCTCATCCACCAAACACATCACTCCCCTCTCAATCATCCTCCGGATCAGATGAAACTCCGTCCCTTCCACATCCATCTTCATCACCACATAATCTGTTCTCTCCAGCCCCAGACTCTCCAGCCACTCCGCGAAATCGAATCCCTGAATCCTCTTGTCTCTCTCTCCCAAGAACTCCAGCGAAGACTGCACGGTTTGAACCCTGCCCCTGGGTTCCTCCCTCCTCCTGCTTGGGTCTCTTGTTATCTCGAAGAACAGCGTCTCGTTTCGAATCCAAGCCGCGTATGGCAACAGCTTGACCCCCTTCTTCGATTTGTACTCGTCGTGGAATGAGCTGTCGGATTCGATTGCGTAAATCTGGAATGGCTTGTTCTGCTTTGGGTAGTGCTTCTTGAACCAGCTTCCGATGCTGGAGCGGTAGTTTTTAGATCCAACGTCTATGTATATGTATCTGTTCTTGAAGCTTATGTCCGCCATTGAAGGGAGATAGGTCATGTTCCTCGAGTTTCTTCTGAGAATAATCCATGGCTTCAACGGTTCTTCCTGTACCAGTGGCTCTGCGTTTCTGACCAATTCGTGCATAAATCCTGGAACGGGACACTTGGATGAAGATTTCCTGCGCTTGAATTTGATTGGATCGTCATCTGGAAGAAGGGGATTGTCGTCTTTCATCAATACCACTTCGCGAATCGTTTGAGACGGGAAATCGATTCCGTCGATTTCACTGGTTCGAATTACACGATAGGAATTGAATAGAGCGAGTAGAGAATTCAGACTGTACGGATCTGTCCCCGATGTGAGGACGACGAAGAAGCCTCCCGGTTTTAGGGTTCGGGAAATTTCGTTCGCGATTTCGATCGGCCTGGCCGTGCGCTCCAGATCCATACCGCCGGAGAAGACGAAGTCAAACGATTCGTCTTCGAAAGGGATCCTGGAGGCGCGGCCGTAGCGAACCGACGGTTTGGCGGCGATTCCGGTTGAATCGGCGACTCCGAGATCTCGCAGCGTCGCAACGACTTCGTCTGTTAGAGTGCCGATGCAGAGAATTTTGGAATCGAGGTAGAGGATTCCCTCGGCGACGAGGTCCTGGAAGAGGGAGGAGTAGAAGTCACGGAGACGGACGACGCCGGCGGTACGGATCGCGTCACGGGAGTCGTAAGTGCTGCAGGTGGTGGTGATGACGTAAGCGAAGCGGGCGAGGAAGACGAGTACGGCGAAGGAAAGGATTCTGACCAGAATATTCCCCAGGCCGTTCAGCTTCGCGGCGGTTGTGTCCATGGAAACACATGGAAATGGGCGCGAAAGGGTTGAAATCTTGACGCCGAGGAAGGGCAAGGTTTTGTAAATTGAATGGGAGGGAGAGGGCAATTTCGGGAGGGGAGAGTAAATCTCAACTGAAAATGGAAGCTTTGAGCGCCTAAGGTGGGGGATAGCCGTTATATGGACTTATGGAGGCCCGGGTGGTTAAATTAAGGATATATATGGGCTTCGTTTGCCTTAATATGGCCCAATATCAACCGTGCTAAAGTGACACTCATATCATATAGAGGGTATTTGAGAGTACAAGATTCATATTTGTGGAAAATTTTGTTACTCTTACCGTCCTAAAATTAACTTCTCAGTTTGACTTTTGTAGTCAAACTTTTTAAACATTGACCGTACATTACGAAAAAAATATTTAATTTTGAAACTTTCATATAAATTTATTAGCAATAGATTCATTTTGAAACATAGTTTTAAAATATATAATTTGTATAAAATATATTTATATAAAAATTGAGATATTGATGATCAAAGTATTGCATTGGAGACCGTGAAAAATCAAATGAGAAGTTAATTTTAGGACGGAGGGATTATTATATTTGTCATATATTAAATTTAATGATAGTATAATTCATTACGAAAAAATTTTCTTTATATATTGTAGAAAACTCCAAAGATAGATAAAATTTCTACAAAATTGATTATTAATAATTAGAAAGTGAACTACATGACATAAAAACATCACAAATGACACCCCACATATGTCAAAAAAAGTGACTATTTAAACATGTTTCAAATATTTGGAATACTTCCTTGAATACGACATTGGTGGTGAAATATTTTCTAGTATAAATACAGTATACAAATTATAATTTGAACTAATTAATGAATACATTTGAGTATAATTTTTATATTTGTTTGTAGATTTGTTGTTTGCACTTTATATTTACAATTAAAATTTACAACGGAGTGTTATTCAAGTATTCAAAATTTATACGGAGTACTTTCTTGTAGTTAATTATTTAAAAAATTAAATGCTTAAATACTTTTAAAAAATTAATTTATATTATAAGTTTAATTTATTTTTTAAAAATAATATAGTAAATTGGCGAATTGGCATATGTACACATTCTCTATTAGTAAAAAAAAAGGTTATGTATGCCCTTAAAGACACCAAAAACTTAACTCAAAGAAGTATACATGCATAAGGCATAAATTATACATCCCCATCTAACCACCCAACTACTAAAATCCTAGAAGTTCAACTAGATATCTGTAAATAAATTTAATTGTGGGGTGAGACAAGCTGGGTGAGAGTACGACTAGACAAAGCAGAAACCAAAAAATGCCATACTGCTGTTGTTATTGCAAAAATACATGGAGTTAATTACCGACACTGAGAAGCCGAGTCTGCCATGGATCAGTTTAAATCGACGAAGGGCATGAGATCAGAAAGATCGGTTCTGATCCGTTTGCCAAAACATATCATTGATTATACTTCGGGCTCGGGCTTCTTCCTTATCTGCACCACAAGTAGTTATAATGGCATGACGTTCCTGGCGTTAGTTCACTTGTTGTGTCAAGTGCCAAAGTTGACCAGCAACATACAATATTAACACCCATAGCCAATGAAACCAGTTAGCCAACAGCCTATGACTAAAAGGGCAGTGAAGGCAGGGCAGCTCTGTCTGCCCGCCCCTCTTTGAAAGGAAAGAAAATCAGAACGGCGATTGGCACAAGGGACATGTAGACTTGTGAGAGGTGGAAAACCACTTGTAGAGGCAAGCAGAGTGGAACTTATGCTTGCACGTCTTGCACGCCAGACGCGGAAGGCTATGGTTAGACGTGTGGATTACGCTGTAGCATATCGGACATTCTTCAACCCCTTCAAATTCCTTGTCGAAATTGCTTTTCCATATTCGTATTGCTTCTGCCAAGGCTCCGTTCTTGTTGTATAATAAACAAAAGAAAGTATCCGTTAGAATTCACTCTTCCTAGTTTTTACTTTGATGAATTAAAACAATATACAAGGAACTAAAATATAAATGTTATACTTTATATACAAGAGGCCCCATTCACTCTCCATAAGTCAAACTTTTGACAAACAATATTTAAAAATATACAAGGAATAAAAATATAAAATTCATACCATAACATTTTTATTAAAAAAACATCTACTCCCTCTGTCCCAAATTAAACTTATCATTTCTTTTTTCACTTAAAGTCAGATTTATGCAGAGAAGAGAGAAATAAAGTGAATTACTCAAGGGAATGTGAAGTTTATTTTAGGACAAACCAAAAAATAAAGTAAGAAGTTTACTTTGAGACGGAGTATAACATTACAGACTTGTTTACAATTTTTGCTAATATGTTCAAAGAGATTTGTCGGTCAATATTGGAATAAATCAAAGTGGCACATTAAACTTCCTTACCCTTTTAATTCCTATGAAGTTAAGGTCTCTAAATGAAGCAATGATCTACATCATTGAAAAAAATTGTGTAATGGAGTACCTGATTTCGTACAAATGACATCATCGACATCAACCACTTTCTCTTCTTCACTTCACTAATACCAAGACTCCTGGTGCAGTCTACATCAACACACCGCAAAGGATAAGATGCGGGAAGGCGAATTACAAGATCCATTCCTGTTTCATCCTTTGTATAGGTTGCCACAATTTCGTTGGCAGATTTGCTAACACTGACCGAGAAATTATCAACATACTTTTCTTTCTTGATCTGCAGTGAGAAACAAAACCATAAACTATTTTGCAGAAGCAACACATGAATTAATATAGCACAAGGAAGCCCTTAACCACAGCATTAACTTCAGGCCAACTAATTTTTATAGACATCAGTGATTTCGCATGCCACTCTGAGATCGGTTTAAAATAACTATCACTTGTAAGAGAATATTTTTTCATAATGTCTGTCACCTTTCATTTTTCAAGAGGAATATTAATTTGATAACTATGCCCCTCATAAATTTTGTATTAGATCTCATTAATTCTTATTGAAAGGGCAATGTGGTTTTTCTAAACATAATCATACATATTAAATGAATTTCTTAATTTGTGTAAAACACTTCCTTGACGCCATATATTTTGGAACGGAAGGACTAAGGAGTACCATAGTTGATAGTTAATACAAATTTGAAAAGTTCACATGAATTTAGCATTCATCTATATAGCTCATCCAGGGTAGTTGCCATTTTTCATATTATTATTATTATTTCATGAGTTACATGATATATGTTATATAATAAATCAATATAGCTCCATACTAGAAATTATCAAGGTTCTTCCGAAAACCATTTGCCTTATCTCCAAAATCTGGTTAATAGTTTTCGAAATAAAATTATAAAGACTTAAAAAGTAGAATACAACCCCCCCCCAAACCCCAACCCCAAACAGAGCATCTGTTAGTTAACTAAATATCTTGACTCCATGAAAGATCTTTTGACAGAAATGAGGCTGAAAAAAACAGAGAGATCAATAGGGGATAAAGTTAGAGGGTTTTTACTTAAAAGGTGTCCTGTGATTCCTTTGAAGAAGAAAAAGTCAGACAATTCTTAAATTATGATGGAAATTCTTGAGATCAATGCCAGGTGCACAACATACCTGAGAGAGTTCCATTGCAATGAGAGGTGGGCTACAATAGGATTTGGTAAAGAATTCAACAGCAGAAGATGTGGAACGATTACGTATATCACTGAACCACGCCCGAACATAGGCCGGAAGAGTTTGAAGCATGAGACCAAAAGTAGCACCGGCAAGACAAGCGAACTTTTCTGGTTGAACAGGCCAAAGTGATTCCAGAGCAAAAACAGCTGAACCACAAGTGATGGCACGTGTTGCAGCTCTTGCTGCTTCTGATATTGAAGCAGGAAGTTCTAAATCCTTCTTTTTCACAACTGAAGGTGCACAAAATTCCAAAGGAATGTGCAGAAAAAGACAATCCAATATACTAGAAGAAGAAGAATCTTGGATGTATTGGACGATTTTCTCCCTGGAAGGTGATGATGACGGTAGAGAAACTAGATGTGAGAGCAGCAAAGACCAGGCAAGAAGGATGTTGATCTGTGAGATGTAGAGAGATGTTAGAAAATTAAACCTAAAGCAAATCTTGTATCTCCTGTCAGATCATATTGTTGAGTATATATAAGTCAGAGCATTATATGGGGAAAAAATATCTCGAGAGGTAACTGACCTGTTCAGCTGAGAGCAAATCCATTTCAAGAACTTGCCTTGGACATTTTTCCAGCATGGTGGAAATTTCTTCCCTAAGATGAACACTATTTTCTTCATCAACTGGTTCAAGACTACGACAATCCTGGTTATTGGAGATGTCTCCATTGAAAAAACTTCCTTTATTCTCAGTCACAAAAGCCAAGTATGATACGGGTTCTGCAGAAAGAACAACATAAGCAGCAAACTGTAGGGAAGGAAGTGGCTTGTGAGAGAAAAGCAGTGCAAAAAGAGAGCTAATTGGCCCTTTACTTAGCCCCCAGATTTCAACTGATTTAACAGCCTTCTCTCTTGCTCGTGAAGATGATTTAACAACATTTGAAGCAACCAAGCCCCAAAATTTAGATTGATGAAACCGAGAGGATGCTATAATGGAGGACGCTTCAGAACAATAGGAACTTGATATTGCCTCAGCAGTAGCTGTGGAAAAAAACAAACGAAGAATACCTTCTAGAATCCTGTCTAAAACTATCTCCCATTTATCCATCAAGGGACTAGAATTTTCTGTTCCATCCTTCTTTTGGAGCTCGATAATTTCAGAAAATAGGGAAAATCCAACAAGAGCATTTCTAGCAAGTTTGAAAGTAAAAGGATCTTTAACTGAAACAGTATCTTCAAGCATCCTCAAAGTTATTTGTAAGTCAATGGGTGTGGAACTGTGAGTTATAGCATCATTTACATTCTCAGCAACTTCCTCCATTGTAACAACTGCTAGTTCAATCCAACGCCTCAAATGATAAATAACAAATTCCCAATCCTCTTCAGCAAATTCTTTCCAACAATAAGCAATGGAAACCAGAATAATCTTTGATAACAAAATATCTACAACTGGTAGCTTGTTCACAGAAGATGGTGCGGTCTCTTTCTTCAGTCTTTGCTTCCGAAATAATTCAATCAAAAGCATCTTTTCCTCAGAGCTGACATATCTTTCTGTGCTAAAACTTTTCTCACCTTCCACGCCTCTTATAGGGTAACAGGCCATTACCAAGTGAAACCAGTCTTCCATGCCTAAAATTAGAGTAAATTAATTAATAAATACTCCGCAATAAATAAATAAATAGACATCAGGAAAATTATAACTGATACGGGAAAGATGACAACTTTCTAAAATCAAGAAAATGTGATTGGAAGTGCCAAAGTGCCACAAGTCTTTCAATAAGAAATGGAGAATTTGCAGGCTACGTCAAATGATGCTCTGTAATTACAATAGCACATATTGGAACATATTTAATCTTGTGCAAATCAAAATACATATAACCATTTTAAAAATGACTCCTAGTTCGTATGTATAAATAGCTCATGCACCTCTATGCTTAAATTAGTCTCACTCTCTCACTGCTGAGTTATCATCGACCACTAAAATCCTGGCAGTTCTACTTCTACTAATATATATACCTTCTCCTGTTAGCCACACATTCAAAGGTGGGAATGACAGAGTTTGCTTGAGCCACACCATCATCACCTCTTGTATTTCACTACTCTGGGATGAATCAGACAGCATTCTCTCATCAACTGTGTCAAATACAATACTCAAGGGCCTAATAAGGACATCAACAATGAGTGGAACTATCCTCAAGCAATTTGCATTTATAGTTTCACCAATATAGAGTTTGGTTAGAATCAATTTAAAATAGAATAGAGCTTTTTCCTTGTCCCATATGTTCTCATCAAAAAGAGTAAGCAGTAAGGAGACAAGAGCTCTCAAAAATGGCTCTCTAATCATGTCCACCTCATCAAGTGTAACAGGCCCTATGGTAGACAAATTTAGCCCACAACTTCCTCCATGAACAAGAGCACCATCAACTAGGATGGTGACAAGGGAATCCAACAAGCCAGCTTCATGACAATAACTCTCACTCTTCACATAAACAATCAAGGAAGGTAAGAAAGAACTCAAAGCACTGCCACCAGCCCAACTCCATGTACATAATATCTCTGCTACCAGCCAGGCACGTGAATAATGTGAGAGAGAGGTGGTCAGCTCAATGTCAGCAATCTCAGTTGACCGTGAAGGCGCAGCACCTCTAAAAAATCTCTGAAATCCTAATTTGGATATAAGCTTACCAATAAACGAAACAAATTTGAGGGCTTCAGAGAACTCTGCCTGCAAAACGTATCCACATATAGCTAAGTATATTAATGAAATCATGCCCCAAACACTGAAAATTGAAATGCCAGGAACATAACATTGACAAGAACATATTACTGTATAGTATAGATAAAATTAAGAATAATTCCATGCATAATGTTTCTATATTCTGCATTCAAGATATGGCTAGCATATATTATCAAGAACGCTTGAAGAAACAATGGATCTTGTTATAAACCCAGAAAGACAGTTGGAACAAATAATATTGCATGAAAATCCGACTTACATTAAAAGAAAATTTTACCTTATCCAAACAGGTTGTTCTTTCTATGATGTTGAAATTTGGCAGAACCCATTGAGGCCATGAATCACTCTGGGAGAGAAGATTATCAAACAACATTTGTTCCTCGGATTCCTCTTGACAAAGACACAGAAGTTCATCAATCCAGTTACAGCACATAGATGTGATTTTTCCATGGTCTGAGTTTTCTGCCTTAGTGACAGCACTTCTTACTGAGTTAACCAAAATGCTTTCAAGGTTCTTCTGAGTACTAGCACCAAGGCTCTTCAAGAACTGGCGGTCAATCTTGTTGCGCAACGCATTCACAGATTTACAAGATAACAACCTTTTTTCAATATTTTCTTTAATATCTTCTGCAAACTCATCGAGGAACACAGTTGCCATGCTACATTCCCAATCAATCACGTACACTGCAGATAATATTCCTGAAATTAGCCAAACCTCATCAGTGAGATGCTTTAGCCTCAAGAAAACACCACCAAGTACTTGACATGCAAAATGAGCCATATCATGTACATCAATAGAAGATTTACATCCCATGTCAGACTCAGCCCTTTCTATTGTTATCAATGAGTATGTGTCTCTAACCCATGCAAAGGAAGAGCCATTCATGAAAATCATCAACTTCCTAAGCACTTCCTTAAATACTACAACTGTCACATCCATGGACAGGAATGAAGCTCCACCATCTCCCACCATCCCGCCAAGTGCAGCACTGCAACATGAACAATAAGTAATGAGAAATACAAGGAAAATCAATTTGCAGACGCCACTGGACTGCATAAAAGAGGGAAGAGGGGAGGGCGGCAGGGGGTGGGATGGGCTGTTAGTTTTTTTAAGATCCAAACCAAGGATCTCAATCTAAAGGACCATATCAAGAGTTCACACCTAATTGGAGTTCAGTTCACACTTAGCTTGAACCTCTCCCAACACACACACAAACATGTATATATAGATGTAGACATGTACTTTACATAGTACCAGCAACCAGCAGTTAAGCACAGAAAAATTAAATGTGGTTTGATGCCGTAGAGAGCATCTATGTATAAAATAAACTAAAGATTAGATCTGTCACCTACCGCACAAAACGAGCACTGCCTGCTCCAAAAGAAGGAAACTCACGGACAACTGCAATTGCAGTGGAGTCCAAAAGTTTATGTTGCCAACTTGCTGCGCAAGAGCCTTGTAGATGACCAATACTTTGAATTCTTTCTGTTGCTTTCTCTAAAAGCATAGCCAACACAGATATGCTGTCAGAGTCCAAATTCGAGACCGTGTTTTTAAGGTATTCTAGATTTGTTGCATGAAAAATAATGATATCCCATTGTTCTGAAAAGCATCGGTCATCAAGTAAAGCAAGTAAGAGATCCAGTCGAATCCCGGTACTACTGTGATCTTGTAAGCACCAAGGAATAAAAGTTTCACTGAAAGCATGCAAAAAATCTTCCTCTCCCAGCTTTGAACCCGAAAGTTCTTCAACTATCTTGTGTGGACCAAATATATGAACAATTGCCACCATGAATCTCACTGAATACTGGGAATCCTAAAGGAAACATCATTAAAAATAATAAATAAGATGATGAGATTGAATGCTTTTATAGAAAGAAATACAACGGTAGAAAATTATAAAGTTGATAATGTTCCTTTTTTGCTCTGTAGGATGATTAACTTACATGTTCCTTTTCCTTTATCAAAGGGAAACACTTCACCAAAGTTGGTCCAACCAGATCAGAGAAAGGCCAAGTTTCACTTTTCTGCACAACCTGCTGGTCCAATAATAACAAGAACTCCGTCACTCGTTTTACCTGTTCTACACACTTAATAGAGCTCTCTGGCAACTGAAATATTCCCAGGCAGGACTCTTGAAATGCAGCGCAGAAAATCATGAGCATATTATGCTCTAGAGAATTGATCCCTGACAGAATCTCAATGATGCAATTCCCAAGATCCTGAAAATAGCCTGCTGAACTGTTGCCATTAAGCCCTAGTTGTCCTGGTTTAAAAGATGCATCTGAGGAAGAATCATTGTTATCCTTAGAGTTCTCGGAGTGCAGGTAATAATGCCACAAGAGCTTAATAAGGATCTGATCAGTAAGACTACAATGGAAACTATTTATGGCTTCTGCTCCATCAAAATATCTGACACAAAGAGCATAGCAGCAGTCAGAGGAAAAGACAGGATATTCAAGCATACACCACTCA